TTCTCTCTAACCTTGGATTTCTCTTAACAATGCTGCGCTTGTCTATGACTTCTCTGATGGTTTCTCCTAAGTCTCCTCTGTTGCTTCCTCTGGCTTCTCCACTAAAATCGGCATCTCCCAACATCCTGTCTTTGACGCTTTGCCGCTGTTCCGTTGTTGCTGTTGCTACCATAATGTTATCAGCCTGTCTGCTGGCTCTACCTCTCATCTTTGTGTCTACAGGTCTGATCATAAACTTTCTTCTGAGCTCTGGAATAAATTTTACAGTCTTTCCTACACAAAAAATGTCCTATTCAGACAGGAAACTATGCAAAGGCATCTGGCAAGGATGCTTAAGGACCTGCACCAGGATGTTGAAAGAGTGGAGAGGCAGGATAGCAGCTCAAATAAGCACAACTGTGATGGATTGGCTGTCCAAAGAAAGAGAGGAGAGAGAAAATGAGGAGAGATAGAAGGGGCAAAGTTGAGCTGAGGTGGTGTAGCTTGGGCCGCTTGGAGGATGGTGTGCCCTTACAGAGCTGAGGAATACACGGTTAAGGGGTAGGTCTGCGAGAGAAAACAATGGCTTCCCTTTAGGACATTCTGAACATACCATGTATCTCTGCCTTTTTGTCATTCGAGTCTTCCTTTTGTAGAGCTGCTAGAATTATCTTCCTAAAACAAAGGTCAGATCATGCCATTCTCCTCCTCAAATTTTTTTTTAGCGCTTATTAACTGCGGAGTAATTCAAACGTTCAGTCTCCTTAACAAGGTGTTTGAAGCCCTGCACAAGCTGGCTTTGTTTAATTTCATTATAATCTCCTAGCACAACAGAACCCACCATGCAATTTCTCACCTTCTTGCCTTTTCTCAAGCTGTTCTCCCAATCTGGAATGCCCTCCCCACTTTTTCTGCCTAGAAAATTCCACTCATTGGTTAGATTGCAGTTTGCATGGGATTGTATCCCTCATAAATCCTCCTTTCACTCTGATTGGAATTGGTAGCTCTTTATTCAATTTTTTCCACAACAATTTATGTGTATTTTTCCTGGTATTATAATTTATTCACTTAAGTATGCATTTTTTTCTATTGGTTGATAAAACTCCTTAAAGCTGGGAAAAGTATCTTATTTGTCTCGGTTTCATACCAGCTGCTTGTACATGACCTCCCACATATTTGTTTATTAAATAATGAATGAAAAGAAGAGAAATGGTTAGAATGGAAGAGGAGGTTGGGGGAGAAGTAATTGGTAAGAGAGGCTTGGACTTGCTCTAGAATATGGCCAACTGGGATAGGTACTTTGTGTGTGAAGAATAAGTGCAGGGAATAATAATGAAGGAGGCAATGAATTCTGGGTAATATAAGGGACTCATATTTAAAGGCAGGCTCCTATGGCACAAAATCACGTATGTACACAATTTAGCCTTACTCAGAGGCAGACAAGCCCAATCGTAAACTCCTTCATCAGCCTGAATTATTATTCTGCCCATTTAAAAAGATACATGGCTTCTCTGTGTAACCAAGACTCTTGCATATTTAGCTATTGCTGCTGCGTTCTATTGTGTGATGCCATAAAGAGATGGGACCTTGACTGATAGTGTGGTGATGACCCGTTGCCGTGCCCATTTATTTAATTGTAGAAAAGAGGGACAGGAGGATATGCTGATTAATGGGATTTCTTTGACTTTTAATTATTCTTTTCATATGTTACCTTTTCATCAACCTATATTTATTCTCAGCAGCACAAAGGAAAAATGAAAAAAAAAGTTAATAATGGGGATCCCAGAAGAATACAATCCCTGGCCTTCCTTCTTGATGCTCTAATACAAATGCACACATCTTTTATGTTTATATCTATATTATATATTTCCTGTATGCATTCTTTATATATATTTTCTCTGTAGCTCTGTACGCTCCATCATCTGTCCATGCTTAGCCCAAACTTCCGTTAGCAAAAGGACTGCTAGCTGTGGGTTAGAAATAGAAAGAAACATAGATGACCCATATCCTGAGTATTTCTATTTTCAATCAGCTGTTTTCCATGAGGACAGATATTTCCCTGCTTAGCTCCAGGTTCTTGAGGGAGATATGTGTACACAAACAATGCCAGGTAAACAAATGTAACCATTTTATTCCTCTCTGAGGTCTGGCTGCCAACCCCTTTGTTGAGCTCCCATTCATGGTATGTTGGGACCTGTGCGAGACACCAGGATGCCTTTTGCTTAGACTTGAGGCCATCCTCAGAAGCCTGGGAGATGACTCCTCTCTTTTGGCCTCACTGGGGCTCTCTCGTGGCTCCCCCGGGTCAAGGAGGCTCTCTGAGGTGGGAGGCAGTCAATGTCCTTGTCAAGTGACTTTCCCCTAATGGAGTCCTAGAAGAGCTCAATTCCTTCACAGACATCAAAAAACAAACCCCAAAGGGCAGACTCTAGAGAGATTCTATCGTATGGTGTCTTCACCTTCTTATGTGCCACCTCTTCCCTTCCGTAGCATAATGACCCAACACTGTCTGTCTTTGGCTCTGCCCAGTTTCAATGGAGGGAAAGGAGAAGGGCTTTGAGCTAACTCATTAGGTTGGATACGTAGCCAACATTGTTTTAGAGGCTACAGTGATGGCAACATTCTTGCTAAATGTGATAATTTAATTGGATACCTATTGTTTCCCAACTCACAAATCCACCTTTTTTTTTTAATTTTTTTATATTTTTTATTTATTTCTAGGAAAGAGAGAGAGAGAGACAGCGTGAGCAGGGGAGGGTCAGAGAGAGAGGGAGTCACAGACTGAAACAGGCTCCAGGCTCTGAGCTGGCAGTCAGCACAGAGCCCGACGTGGGGCTCGAACCCACGAACCGCGAGATCATGACCTAAGCGAAAGTCGGACGCTTAACCGACTAAGCCACCCGGGCGCCCCACAAATCCACCTTCTTAAGCCAAGCTTTGCCACAGTAACCAGCTATGGTCAGATGTAATTGACAGCACTTGCCCTTGGCTTCACTAGGCGATTTCTGCACCCTTGGCTTCTTTGCCACCTTTGTGGCTGCCTGCAGGAAACTAATCAGGCATTCTACATGATGTGCAAACCTGAAAGTGCAAGGCAGTTAATTCTCTGGGGCTATTCTAGCCCCTTCTTTCTCCTGTCCCTTGGGCTGTCACTCCTGAGATACATTTATACAGCTTCTCATGAGAGTTTCTGGAAGGATTACATCCTACTTGTTCATTCCGGGGTTGGCTTTCCCTTCTTACTTGTTTCACTCTTTATAGTTCCCCACTTTCGTTTCTATAATAGCTTCCCAGAATAAATCCCAAGGTTCTGATTTTTTTAAAACATTTTTTAATGTTTTGTTTATTTCTGAGAGAGACAGAGAGAGAGAGAGAGAGAAAGAGAGAGCAGGGGAGGGTCAGAGAGAGAGACACAGAATCCGAAGCAGGTCCAGGCTCTGAGCTGGCCGTCAGCACAGAGCCTGATGCAGGGCTTGAACCCACGAACCGTGAGATCATGACCTGAGCTGAAGTCGGACGCTTAACCGACTGAGCCACCCAGGCGCCCCTCAAGGTTCTGCTTTTTAGGAGGACCTGAAAAATAGATTGTAGTGGGGGCGGAGCAGGGGGAGGGGTGTCCACAAATGCTGACCAAACCCATTGTGCAGAATGTTGTAACATTCTATTTGAAGTGGCACCTAAGAGGACTGGGGCTTGTTGGTTTCTTGGAAGACACACTGAAAAGTGTGGACCACTGATTAGGAATTGCAGTTCAAATAAACATAAGAGCACACTGAGGCCAAGTGATGGCGTTTCCTGTCTAGAAATCTTTAAGATTGAAAAGACACTTACCATTCTGGAATGGTTTGGGTGGAGCTCTGCATCAGGCCAGAGGATGGCTAGATAAATTTCCCTCGTCCTAGACCAGTGGCTAGACCCATACTCTTGGCATTAATTGTGTGAAGACGGGGATAGATCAGTTATTTCCCTGTGTTTCTGTAAGCACGTTGAGACTTTCCATCCAATGGAAGTGCCTGGGAGGTTTCATAATGTGTTTAGAGTTTTGAGGCTGAGAATCTTTTTTTTAGACCAGTAGCTAAATAAGCATATTTAGTATATTCTTTCACTGTATTTAAACTAAAATGTCTTTTTGCTGCTAAAAGCAACTGTGTGCCCTTCTACAGAAAACATTTGAAATGTGGCGGGTGGTGGCAAGAGAGCTCAGAGGTCATAATTGTGCTAGTTGCCTGGAGGAGGTTTGAAACAGTGGGGGTTGGGTGGTGGTAGGGGGGTGAAGTTAGAGGAATGAAGACTGGCCTGACAAACCCTTTCCATCCCCATCTGGTTACCCCCTGACCCATCTAACCAGATTAGATGGGTCTAATTTGGTAAAATAATGTTTAAGCCACCCTCAAGATGTTGGCAGGTGATCCAAGCATGATGATTTAGTGTTTAATCAGAAGAGAAAAGTTTTAGACCTCTCAAACTCTGAAGTGAGCAGAAACATATTTTTGGCCACTTTTTTCTTTTCTCCTGTGAGTTTGCTGTCATTTGAAAATGTTGAGATGTCATTTTTGCTATAACTGCCTTGCAAGGATTCTGTTTTGCAGCCACTTTGTTTCCAAAGGTGCATTTTTACTTATTTAGAGAGTGGTAGAATCATAGTTTATTATATGTTATCTGTAGGGGGGTAGGGGTGTTAGAGATCATCCAATTTAACCTGTAGCTTATGCCTCAAATTTAGGTGATCTGATTCTATGGTAATTGCCCTCAGGGTTGGAAAACACTCTGTAATTCAGGTATTTTCACTAACTAGGGTAGAAAGCTATCTGTTAGTGATTGGCATGGGGGAAATAAGTTTGAAGTGTGGATTGAGGTGGCCTTTGCTCCAGGTCAATAATTCTATTGAAAACTAAGAACTAACTAATCCTTATCCTAACTCCTATCAAAATAGAATTCCAAAGGGATACAGCAGTTCACTTTCTTTTTCCTCTTTGCATCTCTGACCAATGGGAGCAATATTTGCATTTTGTCTTTTACAGACCCAGCTATCAAGAATTATCTATAGATCTGCTGCCTCATAAAGAAGAGGTCTTGGTTGATAACTTGAGACTATTCAGAGCCTGGATAGGGGAAGACTGCGTACCTCCAGTCACCACACTTGACTTACCCCAGGGACTGCTCTATGGATATCTGCTTTGTTACTTAATGGTAGCTATTCGCAAAATAAACCTTTTTTTGTTTTGAGACAGTGGTATAAGTAAGAAGGTTGGCTGGGGTCTCTTGAATATTTGTGGTTGATGGCTCCATAGAATGGAGTCCAAATCCCCAAGGGCATTATTTTATCCTGTGACTTTGTTCACAGGGAGCAAAGGATTCCAGTTTTACACTGTCTGTCTTCTGGAAGCAGGATGTAGTCACTCAGCCTGGATCCTCTTCCTTCTGTCCCTCCCCTTTTGTATGCGTAGAGCTCGTGTCCTCCCCAAGGACCGAAGTTTCAGCAAAGAATGAGATGTGCCCTCTCCTTCAAACAGTTTGCAAGCCTCACATGATTTTTGGCAGGTGGGGGTTCTAATATGATGATTCTGTGGGGAAGGAGGCACATGTGCTCATCAGACCTTAAGATTTCTTCCTGTGCCCCTGTCTGTGACCAGCGCTGGGGCTCTGTTAAATCATGAGGGACTTTTCGGTGGCCAAAAAAGAGAGCCAATCAGCCATAGACACGCTATAGAAAACATGGCCTTGCGTCTTAACTTAAAGTATATTTATTTAACATGACAGTAGGAAAAGTATGTATGATTTTAGATTAAAGTCAAGTGGGGGCCACAACACTGGCTTGGAGCTGCCCAGGTGCACCTGCGACATTCTACGTGAGCGAAGGTGTTAGAGGCTGTGGTCTGTTCCGTCACAGATCGCTCCTTCCTCAGTCACTGGAAGCCCATTAGTGGAAGACGATTACGAAACTGATGATTATTTTCTCTGTATTTCTGGCTTTTCTCAACCACAGGGAAAGTGTGAGGTAGGTGTGGGATCTAAGAAAAAAAAATATGTATACAAAATGAGAAGTCACTCTGGCCTATAGTGCTAGCAAAAGGCAAAGAAGTCTGACTTATTTTAAAATTTTCAGTAAATATCAGCTGCCTGCAAACTAAACTGATATTGAATAAAGTGAGAGCACTTGATTCAATCACCTAAAAAATAGCTTTTGGATGAAATATTAAAGGGGAAAAGAGTGTGTGATTAGTAACTGGTCATTTTCAAAGTGGCTTCTCCTACATGATCTCATTTTATGAAAAGGAAATTTGACCTTTATAATGCTAGAGTGAAGCAGTTTATAATTTCTTACACGGTGGAAAGGACATTATATTTATAAGCATGCAAACTGTGAACTAGATAGAACATTTTCTTTTGTTGTTTTATATTTTTTATCAACCATCACCGATTCATAGGGAAGATCTCTAGTGGCTAGAACTTTAAAATGGATTTCAAAAAATTACTGTTTCAACTTAGTGTGAGTTATCTTTTTTTTTTTTTTTTTTCCTGTTTCTTTCTCTGGTTCCTTCCTTTGAATGATGAACTATTACTTGCATTTGGATAGATTATTATTTAGCTTGCAAAACAGACCATTTCCCCCCTCATTAAAATCTCCTAGTTGCCAAACTTCATTAGGAGCAATGGAATTATTCATCTGTTCCCCCCCACCCCCTGCCCTTTGGCTATGGGGTCAGTAAAACAATGTTAAGCAGGAGAGGGGAAGGCTGGTGAACACTTTTAAATGTCACTAAGTAATTTCAGGAAGGAGCTGGCCTGAAACTGTACTGAATGATGGATATACGCTTTATGTCTTAACGTCTATTAATGACTTACATAATGACACTCTGCATTATAACCATGGCTGTTCAAAACTTGCATTTTGCAATAGCTATAACTAGTAATGGACGTTTCCTGAACTTATTTAAAATACGCTGCAAAGTTAAAATGGGAACAAAGCAAGACAAATAGAACCCTGAGACTAATAAGTAGTCGAGGATGGCCACCAAGGAGAAAAAAAAAAAAGAAACAAAGAGTATAGCCAACCTTTTTTTTTGTTTTAATTAGAGTATATTATACTTCCAAACTGGATACACTAGAAATTGGCAATGCAACATAAGATGCAAAGAAATATACCAGTACTGTCAAAATGACCCTGTACAGCCTTGTAATGCAAAAAGCTTTATACAATACAAATTTTCAGTAATGTACACAAACCTTGACAGTATGATCATCTGAACATAATATGAGGAGTTAAAAAAAGGAAAGAAGAAAGAAAGTGCTGAGAATGCTAACTGCAGTACTATATGGAAAAATAAGCTAGCTTTCATTGAAGAATGCATAGTGAAAACAGAATTGAAGTTAGTTGGCAGGTGAATTTCTCAAAGACGTTAGTGTTTTACACGGAAAGGATATCTATGGAATAATCCTTCCCTGAGTATCAAACTGCAAACCAAATTCGAGGGTATATATTATCTCGGTGGAGTCTGAAAAATGCTGTAGATTTTCCTTTATTAATAACAATAATAATAATATAAAAAGTCAAACAAACTCCAAACACACCTTTTCTCACTCAGAAAACTTTTATAATTTACCAGAAAGATTGATGACTCTTTCCAAAGTGCTAAAAAAGTTGCCCAATTACATTAAGCATAACTAAGTCATTCAAATACAAGTTCAGTGGCAAGCAGTGAAATGCATGGCATTTGAGCAGTAAACATCTCCTTCCAACATCCCTCTCAACCTTGAAAGTATCAGCTTAGGACCTCATATTGCACAAGTTGGCATGCTGTAAAACCTATAGTCCTAAATGTTGGGGCCACCCTTTCAGGTTTTTAACCTGCTGGTGCTTGTGTGTGATTCACCCTTTCTGCCAGCCTCAGTGGGATCACCGTGGCCCTCTATGCTGTCATCACTGAACTTGTAGTTTTGAAAGCACATTATTAGCCAAGTGGCACATTCTCCATTATATGGGGATAAAGACAGGACTTAAAAAAAAAAAAAAAACCCACCCACAAGCCCGGTATTCTTGGAGTGTATTGTCCATAACTGTCTATAGTGTTTTTTACCGAGACATTGACGCGGCGAGGTTGAATGACGGTTCTAACATAGCCAAGGACAAATGTCTCTGCTGGAGGATGGCCGAGGGTCCGGGAGCTTCCTGCCCTAGCTGGCTCGGCCTCCCCGCCCCTGGGGACATCTCCTTAGTGTAAACAGGTTTGCCAGGGCTGAATGACTGGCGAAGGGAAGTGTAGCACACCTGCTCGGTCTGGGGGAAGGAGAATGGGGATGGGGGTGGGGGAGTCCATGGTGTGGACAGATGGTACAGTCTTCTGGCTTCCTGTAGAACTGTACCAAGTTCGAGTGGCTTTCAGTGAAGCAAACTGACTAGAGGAAGAAAATGAGGGATGCTTTTATTTTCCCCTGGTGAAACAGATGAAAAGGAAAATCCCAACTCTAGAATAACACAAGATGGAAAACAGCAAGGCAGTAAGAAGGCATTCCTCTTGTACACCAGTTCTTCAATAGATAAATAATATATAAACTTTTATATTCCAATCTTTCCATTATTATACAAAGCACATTTCGTCCTGCCCTTTGAGCCTGTTTCATACTGGGAATTCTGTTGTCTTAAAAATACAGGCCATTGACATATTCGGCCAAAGATTCTTTTCTTTTTCTTTTTAAATCACCTTTACTTTCCAGGATTAGCCAAGGGCTCTGCAACCAATCCACATCTGCTTCTTGCGGCAATAAAGTGCTGCACATAAGTTGCCATTTTAATGACCACAAAATAAAAGCTTTAAATAAGTATAAAGTTAGCCTCCTAGCAGGTTACATCTACCAGGCGTTAACAAAATGGAATACAGAATTATTAATAACATGGAGAATACCACTATAGCCAGACGATCTGCAAACACAAGGGAAACTTCTCAGGGGCATAAATTGAACCGTAGGACTAAACAGCACCTTTTTGTTGGGTCGTTATATGTCAAAGAGGTTGTGACAAAATTTTCAAACTTACAGTCTACTCATTCAATATAAAAGGTACATTTTCTTCCTTTTACTTTTTTTTTTTTTGCAGATGAGAAACAAAAACTAGTGCAAGACCAAAGCACTGTGCAAAACTGCCGTTTCTTCTTCTTTTTTTTTTTTTTTTAGTCTGAGCATTTATACCCAGAATGTATCCAAACCCCTTTAATCTCCTTGGCTGGATTTATCAACCATAAAATTTTTCATTCATACAGTTTTTTTTTTCCTGCAAATAAATGGTAACCACTGAATTAATACATCATATATATATATATATATATCATCATATATATATATATATAATCTGCCCTTTAAAAAATGATGCACAGTGTGTGTGCACCATACACATTGTATATGTATGGACACACACACACACACACACACAAAACACACTTAAGTTTTGTGATATTGGCTGCAGTGCTGCGAGATATTTCTTCCAGAGTGTTCTCTATGTTCTCACATCTTCATAACCAAGAAGATCTGAGCACAAGGTCTCTGGCACTCTGTCGGAAATCTCAAGTGGCACTGTGGGTGTCTACCAGTCCTTCATCGACTAAGCACCAGGCCCTACCACTCTGTAGCCATAAAATAAAGAGGGAAAGGTGACGAAGGAGCTTGGGGAGAGACTGTAATGGATGAACAACCCAGGAGGGAAAAGAATGTTCATCGCTGTTAAAGAAGCCAGTACAAAGAAATGTGCAATAGCAATGTCATGGCACACGACACACGGCTTTCTCTTTCAGAATCCACAGCACCCACACACCCCATTCACCCAACAGAAAACAAAATGCACCAGTATATAAGCTTACAAGTGCTGATTGCTATTAAGGACACTCTCTTTAGGGTTTAACAAGACAAAATTCCTTTCAGATAAAAGTACGGAGAAGGGGCTGAGGGAGTGGGTGGCTGGGGAGGCATGCCTCTGAAGGTAGAAGTATGCAGTAGGTCACCTCTCTGAAGATTGGATAAAGCAGCTTTCAGGTCAATGCAATAGGTATACACACAGAGCCAATTCTCTATTCCTTACTAAAGATATACAGTACACGTGGTTCAGACCCAGGCGGGGGTCTGTAGGTTTTGCAGCAACATACACCTGCTGGGGTTGTGTTTAAGTTTTGTGGGTTTCTGTTTTTTGTTTTGTGTCTCTGTCTCTTTGTTTTTGGTACAGAACATGGCTGTCCTTAGACAGTCTCTGCTCTTTCTCTTAGTCCGAGATAGGCGAGGAAGGAGTGTTTGGGTGAGGGGATGCTGGGAGGCGCAGTCTGAGGTCGGGGAGGGTGGAATGTGAGATCCAAGTGGTTCTTGGGGTATAACATTGTCAAGGGAATGAGATGGGCAAAATCCGAGTTCCGGTACTTGTCAAAGCGCAAAGGGGAGCCGTTGAAGGCCAAAGCCTTGAGTGCCAGGTTGGGCTCTGAGCTGCTGCCGTGGGCAGCCGACAGGGCCACGGTCTGCAGAGCCTGGGAGGCGGACATGACCGACAGGGGAGACAAGAGATTCCGGGAGCTCCCGACGACCAGGAGCGGGACCCCGGGGCCGGCTGGTTCCTTGGGGGCCGGACACAGGCCCTTCTTGTCCTCCTCGGGGCAGTCCCCACTCTGGTGCTTCTTGACGTGGCGGCTGAAGACGAAGGGGTGTGTGGTCTTGAAGAGGCACTCTTCGCAGCTGAAGGTCTGGCGTGGGGCGTGTTTCAGCTTCTTGTGCAGGTTGAGATTGTCCTTGCGCTTGCAGCTGTAGCTGCACTGGTCACAGTGGAAGGGCCGCTCCCCGGTGTGGACGCGCACGTGCTCGATGAGCTTGTTGGCGGTCTTGGACAGGTAGCCGCACTGGTCGCACTTGTAGTGGTTGCCGAGGCGATGCTCCCGGGTGTGCGTCTCCAGCTCCAGCTGGTTGGCCTTCACCGTCTGGCAGATCCGGCACTTATACTCCATCTTGTAGTGGGTCTTGAGGTGGCACTCCATGGCGGCGGGGCGGTTGGTGGAATAAATGCAGAATGGGCACCTGCCGGGAGGGGGTGGGGTGGGGTGGGGGGGAAGCAATGAAAGGGGCAGGTTCAACCGGACAGGTTCGGCGGCGGCCCCGCCTCTACCCTCCTGGCCAGCCTCCCCTCACGCCCCCCTCCAAACTCTGAGGCCTGGCCTGCCCCTGCCCAGCCCAGCCCTGCCGCCTCTCCGGGGGTAAGATGACCCGCTTGGCTCTCCCTGCGGACAGAGCCGCCCCCGCTAAGGAGCCGCTCTGGCAAGGAACCCTCGGCCTACTGTGGGTCTCCTGGCTGGACGGGTGAGCACCAGCCCGCAGGAAGGGGAGCAGAAGAAGTGCGAGGAGTAAATAAGCGGTCGCTCCCCTCCATCCTCCCCGCCCGTCCCCTGGGAGCCCTCCCCGCCTCCCACCAGACATAGCAGAGGTCTAAACCTCATGACCGCCCCTCGAGATGGGAGCAACACAAAGAATCGACTTTTCATGCACCACACCAAGCACACGCAGAAAGGCTAAGAGTTTTGAAGAACAGCTTATAGGGGGAGAGCTACCTCCAGCAAACAGAAAGTCGTAGGGGTCAGAGTCGTGCTTATTAAAAGGGTTGTTAGGATGAGGAGGCCTGTGTGTGTGTCTCTGTGTGAGTGTGTGTGTATATACATAGATCTGTACTCCTAAGTCCTGTCTCCTACAGCCCTGGTTCTCCATCAGGGCAGGCAGATGAGGACCAGGATGGGGCACAGGAGAGGAAGGCCCACCCACCAGCCCATCGCTAATGAGGGATAAGGAGGGAGGGAGGCGACTGCTATCTGGAGTTCGAAGAGATTACGAGAACATTATCACATCGTGGAAATAATAGTAATCCAACTGGATCATAAATTCTCGGTGGGCAGGACCATATCTTACATTTCTTCTGCGTTCTCTGCAGTGCTCGGTAAGGCACTCAGCACACTGTAGGCACTGGTTCGTTACCGGACTGGTCCCTACACATAATTTTGGCAGATTCTGGTCCCAGCTCCATCACCGTATCGGGCTATAGCTGGATGTGCCCTGGGACCAAGCCTGGGCCTCTCCGTGGCTCAGTTTCTCCATCCTAGACAGTGAGGCTATGCCACCCCCAAGCCTCCTGGCTGTCCAGAGGGGCTAGGAGGAGCAGTGAGGGCATGTTTACAAATTCTGCTGAGCTTCTCTTTCGGAAGCCGCAAGGCTCACGGTGGTGGCTGATATGATAGCTGTAGCGTGTTTGCTCTCTTTACAAAAAGAATGTGAATGCAAAAGTGGCTGCCTCAGCTGTTGCTGGGCACCCGTGGGGCAGGGCCCAGGCGTGATCTGTCCCCTGAGGGTTTGGAGAGGTGTTCAGCAGAGCCCAACACAACCAAGTGCACCGTGCACTGCTCCTCAGCGCCAAGCTCGCCGTTAGCCTTTGAACCTCAGCTCACAGAAGAGTGCACACGAGAGAAATATAAAGCCCATTCCCAGGTCAGGTGCACACACAACCCCTACGCCAAGCTGGGCCTTACCTAGAGGAGTCTGAAACTCACCACTGTCCTGAGCTACGGCAAAAGAAAAATAATAGTATAATCTTATTTGATCTGCATTATGAACAGGATATAGAGTACAAGCAGTTCCATCACAGAAAAGCAACTTAGACATCGGCAGTCTGTTTCATTTTAAGGACATTTCTGTGACCCACGGCTCAATCTTTCTTTCGCTGCTCAGGCAAAGTGCTAAGGGTTTTCCGTGCTCCCGTTATTTATCGTAAAGACACTCTCTCAGGCAAATTAATTCTCTGATATGGCAAAGGGAAAACAAAACAAAACAAAACAAAGACTCACTGTATAGCCAGAAGGCATTATCAATTTTTTCAAAGTATTCTTCTACTTGGTCATCCTAGAACATAAACTATTACACAGGGGACCGTTAGCACCACACCGGAAGTGTCTGTACCGGCAAAAGCATCAGCATTCACTGTGCTTTCTCCCCAAAGGGTTGGAGGCTCGGGACTCTGGAGGTCCCCAAGGAAAGGCTACCTGACAAAGCCACAACTGGCAGGGGCCGCAGAGATAATGGGTGTGACTGGGCTCCTGGGAAGGGCAATGAGTGCTAGTCCAGCCACGGAAATACATGGCTTTTTTTTTTTTTTAAATAAGAATAAACAAGTTTTTAGAAAGGGAACAGTGGGAACAAACCAAATCAAATTCCCAAGTAAGCTCTTGCTGGGCATTTCCCATTTACTGGTTGTCTTGAATTCTAATCTCCCCTCCCCCATCCTTGTAAACATCTCCTCCCCCTCCCACTTAAGTGCCCCAAGAGTGAAACAAAATGGAATTGGACAGTAGGCGCTGCTCCCTGGCTCCTCTGTTTCGGGCAGTGTTTGAGGAGGGTGCCTCTGACCAGGCAGGAGCTTGGAGGAGTCAACCCTGCATGGCTCCCGACACTCGACCCCCAGGGTCCTTTTGGGTCTCTCCATCCCTCGCCCATTCAGGAGAGTCATGCCGCCTCTCTGGCAATTCGTGAGTTTCAAAGATAAACACGGTTAAAACAAGAGGGTCTTTTTTTTTCTTGTGTCAAGTAAAATATAAGTTTTCATTCTTTTAATTACATGGTTATTTCAGCTAAACATGAATAATTATGCCGTGAAACCTGTGTGTCTTTCTGTACTCAACGACATATGCTTCTTTCTCTACTAGGTCAGGAGCGCCATGTGAACAAGGGGCTGATTTCAGAATCACTGGGAAGATTAAATTCTGGTAGTGCTAGGACATACATTTCCTGAGGGTGGAAATCACATTTTATTCCTTGTTTGCCCTTCAGCACCTATTATCAAGCCAGACACACCGTGCGTTTGATAATAACTGATGGGTCTCACTTCAGACCAGAGGGCTTCTTGCAAATATTGGTTAATGATGATGCTTGTTGTCTAGGTCTCTGGGGACCTGTGAATAACGTGTGACTGGAAACGTCAGATCTCATGAAGGCTAGCCAGGGAGATCCCAATCCCGGTTCCTGGGAAGGCACAAGGCACGTCTGCAGGAAGCCCCGAGGCACGTGATCTCTGCATGAAAAACACTGCCTCCTGCCTGTTCCAAAAGGCACGGATCCGATAGCTGGGGGTGGGGTGCGGATTGGGTGCTTGTAATGCCTCTTAAAAGATGTATATGGCGAATCATCTAAAAAATAGAAATGGTGAAGTGCTGTGACAGTGTAATGACCTACAGTGGGGACACGAACCCCCAAGTCCATAAAATCAAGTCTCAACGAAACTCAAGCAGTGTAGGATGGGTCTCCCCCTGCATGCTGGACTGCTCCGCTAGGTGCCCTCGCTTGCCAGGAATCCTGGGATCCTGGTGAACTGGGTGCTCCTGCTGTGTCTGCTGGGCCCCCCGGGCAACACGTCTAATCCATATCCAGCTAAAGGTGGCTGACTAACTGACCCCATGCCAAGCTCTCCCTCTCCATGACCCCCAAACCTTCGGGGAGGGGCTGGGGGAGGGATGGGGGAGGGTGTTAAATAACAACACAGTAAAAGGTTCTGTACTTGCTTTCCTTACTTGAGCCCACCGGTGGGGACAGTGTGGCATTTCTTATGCTCCAGCAGCTGTTCAGGTGTCTTCATGAACTTGTGGCACACGTCACACTCAAACATCCGGGTGATGAGGTGTATCTGCAGGTGGCGCTCAAACATGTTCTTCGTCTTGCAGACAAAGTTGCAAAACACGCATTCGAACCCTGAAAGGACGGGAGCTGGGTGTACGGGTGCATGTGGCAGAGGGACCGGAGGGCAGGAGTGGGACGGACATCCCCCTGTTTCTCCTCCCGGCCTTTCAGGCACTGCGCCCTGCATCTTGGTGGTACAAGGAGTTGAACATACAGCTCTGCTCCGGAATCAATGCCACACGGCCCAACCACCCACCCTATATTTGGATGCCAATAAAGCCAAAAGAAATACAAGTTTTAGGTGACAGCATTATACTGTTGGCAGGTCTAACGTCTGTTTTCTGACATCAGTCCCCTCAAGGGCTTATTTGTAAGCCTGGGTCATCCTCTCAGAGTGGGAAGGACTGAGCAGGCCCACCACCTCCTCCCTTACCTTTCTCTGGCTTTTCCTCACTGTTCAGTGAGGGCTGGCTCCCAGGCACAACAGAGATGACCAGCACATTGTTCCCACTCTTGTTTTTCTGGGAGCTGTCCGAGTCATCTTTGCTGTTGGCTGAATCACTCAGAGCTGAGAGAGAGGATGAAGAGGGGCTGTTTGATTCACTGGGGGTCTTCCTGTCTTCTCCTGAAAACAAAAACAAACAACCCCCACCAAAGACAGATCTGTTATTTAGGAGATGAGAACCCTCAAATAACAGCAATTAGGGGTGGGGAAACGGGGCCTCATGGCTACATCATCATTCAGGGAACACAAGGTGAGGCTTCTAGAACTCTCCTAGTACACCAACTGGGATCTCAGGTCCTCGTCATTGATGACACTTGTGATACTTGGGAACTCTGTCATGCTTCAAACGCATTATTTCATTTTATCTTCCCCCAAATCCAAGTGAAGCACAACTGTTATCATCCTCATTTCATAGATGAGGGAAGGGAGGCACAGTCAGGGCATCTTGGCCTAAGTCACATGCTAGGCAGTGGCAGAGCACAGATTTCAGTTGGCCCGACTCCAGGAGCCATGCTGGACTCTCCCTCAAAACCAGGAGTGAACTGGTCAGTGGGCCATTAAAATCCAGTGTCAGGAGACTAATGCTTCCATTTAAGACGAAGTGTCAGGGACTGGATTTACCATCGCTACTGAAACAATTCAAACAAAACCAGACAAAATATGTCAAATAATAGTTTTGTTTTGTTGTTTTTTTCAAACAATCGTTTTACAGCGTTGGACATTGGGCACTGAAGAATGATCCCTGAGAGACAGGAAAGAGAAGAGGGAGCCCACTTCCTGCCTTCCTGCCTTCCTGCCTTAAAAAACTTTACTCTCCAGGCTGCCATGCAGGGCTGAACTGCCTGTCAGATTCACTGAAATGAGAGACAGCACTGAGGGTCTGGGGAGATCAACATGGCTAGACTTCGCAGGGCAGGGTGTAGAGAGGGGAGGTTTCGGAGAGGGGAAAGTAGCACAGAAGGGACCAAAGCACCTTTGTGAGAAAACTGCCCACAGTTGGAGAGAATAAAGCCTTGTGAAAGGATTAGAAAAAACAGTGAATGCTGTTTCCACTAGCCAGATTCAAAAAACTCATAAACCCCAGAACACTGGGTGGGAAACCGGAGAAGATCTCTTAGTAATGGGTAGTGATCAGCCCTAGGTTTACCACTGCTCCAGACCTGCCCGACATGTCACAAAGCAAGACACAAAGGAATCATGGTTTCCAAGTAATTAACTGCACCCTAAAACAAAAGTCAAGCATGTTTACAGGAATATAAAATAACCAGGACCCAACAAGGCACATCACAATGTCGGATATCTAAATAAAGATTAGCAGACATGCCAAGAAACAAGAAAACACAACCTACAGTGGGGTAATCAATCAGTCAAAGCTGACCTAGAACTGACACAGTTATTAGCATTTGTAGACAAGGACATAAGGACAGTTATTGTAACTATATTCCAAATATTAAAAAAAAGTTAAACAGAGATATGAAAGATATAAAAAAAGATCCAAATCAAAGTTCTAGAGATGAAAATTACCATGACTGAGATGAAAATACACTGGATGGGGTTACCAGCAATTTAGACATGGCAGAAGAAAAGATTAGTGAACCTTGAAGATAATAGTAATAATTATCTGCAATGAAACAGAGGGAGAAAAGGATCATAAAAATGAAGAGACCATTAGTGAATTGTGGGATGCCTTCAGGTGGCGTAATGTAAGTTTAGCTGGAGTCCCTGATTGGGTGGAAAAGGCAGAAAAATTTGAAAAGGTCAATGCTTTTCCAAATTTGAGGAAAACCACAAACCCACAGATCCAAGAAACAAAATGAACCCTATGCATAAGAAAGCTGAAGAAGTCAGGGAACGGGGGTGGCTCAGTTGGTTAAGTGTCCAACTCTTGACTCTTGATTTCAGTTCAGGTCAGGATCCCAGGGTTTTGGGTTTGTCTTGTGTTGAGCTCCACACTGGGTGAGGAGCCTGCGTGGGATTCCCTCTCTCCCTTCTTCTCCTGCTCACACGTGCACCTCTCTCTCTCAAAAAAAAAAAAAAAAAAAGAAAGAAAGAAAGATGAAGAAATCTATATCAAAGACTATCATAATTCCATTGCTCAACTAGCGATAAAGAAAAAATCCTACAGGCAGCCTGAGGAAGAAGGATGCATGATGCACAGAGGAACAAAAATAAGGACGACAGCAGATTTCTCACTGGAGACAATGCAAGTGAGAAGTAGTGGAGAACCATCTTTAAAGTGCTGAAAGGAACAACTGTCAATCTGAGATCTTGTACTCTGTGAAACTAGATTTCAAAAATGAAACTTCCCTCCCCACCCCAAAAGCAGAAATAATTCATCACCAGCGGACCAGAATTACAAAAAATGTTAAAAGAAATTCTTCAGGCGGAAGCAAAATGACACCAACTGTAAAAATGGATCTACACAAAGGAATGAGGAATGCGGGAAATGGCAACTACATGGGTAAATACATGAGTGCTTCTTATTTAAACTGCTTTAAAAGATCATAAAAGTCATTTTGTTAAAGATAATAATACAATAGAGGATCATAACATATATGAGTAAATGTACGACAGCAATAGCATAAAGGCTAGGAGAGAGGACAGAGGAGTACGTCATTGTGAGGCTCTTACACTACACATAAAATGGTTTATCACTTGAACATGTACTGTAATAAATCAACAATGTACATTATAAACCCCCAAATAACTGGAGGGCTCTACACTGTTCATGGTTTAGGAGACTGGATATTGTTAAGATGTCAATTCTCCGCCCCCCAAAATCAAAGCAACCCCATCATTTTAGGTTAAGGTGGGTAAGATAGGGAGACTGTGTTTCAGTTCCCTCTAAATCAGTTAGTTAAGTAATTTAGTGATTGCAAATTCTAGAAATGAACTTTCTTTATTAGGAGATTAAAAGATAAGTCATATATTGTATATAGGCATAAAAAGTCCAGAAGTAAACAAAGGTATAATGGTGGTCACAGCTAGCGTGTGAAGTTATTAGTGTTACGTTTATTTTCTTTTACTTGGTTTTCAAAATTTTCTAGAACGCCATAAATTACTTGTCCAATTAAAAACACGTTTTAAAAAGAGGAAGGAAAAAATATTTAGCCTCCTACAGTATTTCCAAGTCTTGTTCCTGGCAGAACTGTACTTCTATCCAGGGAAGACACCTCTTACGTCAGTTTACCGTTTTGAAAATCTTGTTCCTGGCAGAACTGAACTTGGTTCTTGGACAGACACGACGTGACCTCATTCACTGACCCCCAGGGAGGGATGGAAAATGCCTTGAAAGCGTAGACCTCCTTTGGTACAAGGAAGGTATGTGAAAACCAGCACTGGCATCGGCGGTCTCTTCTCTAAATATTTGACCTAGGTTTATTCACATTTTGTAGACCAACAGAGTATTTTCAGTGGGGGCCCTAAGTCTATTGCTTCAACAAATCCATCCTCTAAGATGGATCTCATCCACAGAATACTGCAAGTGATTATTTTAAATTAGGTTTTAGAATGAAAACATATGATTTTAATTACCATCTTTAACAACAGCTTCAAGTACCTTCTGGCTTAAGGCAGTGGGGAGAGCTGCCTGATTAATCACTGTGTAAATAACACAGGTATCATGACAGCCAGTCTGCGTTTTGAGAATGGCCCGGGGAAATAGCCCAGCCCGCTCGACTTGTACTCCCTACCCCACACCAATTCTTCTGCTCTCAGTCCTCATCTCCCTTTGCTCTGTCTGTAGGGAGTGAGCCGGGGTGTCCTTGTCAACTCAGTCCAAGGCTCGCTGTGATCCGAGGGGTCACTTACTTTCAGCAACACAAAGATGCTTTTTTTTTTCTTTTAAAGTTTATTTATTTCGAGACAGAGAGAGAGTGTGAGCAGGGAAGGGGCAGAGAGAGAGGAAGAGAGAAAAAATCCCAAGCAGGGTCCATACTGTCAGTGCAGAGCCCTATGTGGGGCTTGATTTCATGAACCATGAGATCATGACCCGAGCTGAAATCAAGAGTTGGATGCTTAACTGACGGAGCCACCTGGGTGCTCCCAGCTCAGTGATTCTTGGTGAAGGATTCTGGGCACAGGCAATGCAACCTCATATATGAGGATAGCCAGGTAAAGAGAACTTAAAAAAACAACAACTCAGTATTCTTGGGGCGCCTGGGTGGCTCCGTCGTTAAGCATCTGACTTCAGTTCAGGTCATGATCTCATGGTTTGTAGGTTCGAGCCCTGTGTCAGGCTCTGTGCTGACAACTTGGAGCCTGGGTATTCTGTGTCTCCATCTCTCTCTGCCCCACCCCTGCTCACCCTCTGTCTCTCAAAAATGAATGAATGTTAAAAGGTTTTGTTTTAAATAAAAATTTTTTTTAAAAACCTCAATATTTCATAATCTAAAATGACACAAAATGATAAACTGAGACCATAAAAATTACCAATTGTCTTGCTGCCTCAATATAAACACTATTTTTGACATCTGTTTTTTTTAGAAGTATGCATATCTATTTTAAAATTGTTGTCGGTTGCATAGTAGTTAAGAATAAGGACTTTAGATCCAGAATATCTGAGTTTGAATGCCACCTGTCTTACTTAATAGCTGAAAGACTTATGAAAAGGTATTCAACTTAGTGCCTCAATGATCCCATCTTAAAAATGGGGGCCATACTGGCAGCCTCATATGTGTGTTGTGAGGGTTATATGGGTTTTTATATATAAAACACTAAGAACAATGCCTGGCTCATTGCAAGCATTACAGGAAAATGTATTATTATTATAAAATATATAATATTTATAAATAATACTAACAACAATAATTTAGCCCTTTGTATTTTCTCATGCTGTTTTATATACCTGGCACATAGTTGGCTCTCAAAAAATATATGAAAATAATTATGATGAATTAATGGGTTTAAATGATAGTATTATATCCTTGGAGTAGACTTATCCTACATTACTTATTTCCTTAAAATTAAATTTTAAGTGAAAATTAATATTCCACTGGTTGATTTTCTTTCCCCTATAGATAGACTCCCAGAAGAAGGATTACTGACCTGCAGGCATTTTCCAACCCCTTGGTCTACCCTACCAATCAGTTTTGAAAAGTTCTCCCACTCTGTAGGGTCACGGCCATAAGAATAGCAGCAGCATCTGACCATCGTGGGTGGCCCTGTAAAACATGCTCTTCACGTGACAGGCGAAACATCAGCCACTCCGGAGTTTTAACTGATGGCTTGGGAGATTCCTTATGTTGAGTGCTTAGCTTACATCTTTCATTGTGTATGGACTGTTTGTGTCCTTTGTCAATTCTTCACTTAGAGACCTAAAGTGTTTCTTACCAGTTTATATGAATTCTCTGTGTGGTAAATATATTAGCCTCTGTCATTTTTACACACACATTTTTCAGACTGGTTTTTGTGTTTTGTCTCCCATTTTTTCCCTCTTTTTTGGCAAACAGAAGAAGATATTTTTATGCGTCAAATCTCTTGATTCTTTTCCTTTGCCATTTCTTGTATCACTTAAGCTTTCACAAATCCTTCTCACTCTGGAAGTTTGATAAACATTCTACTTCCTTCAAGCTTTTCTAGGGCTGATTTGTTAAGGGGGATTGTGTAAGTCATCTGGTATTTATTTTGGTGTTGGTGTGAGGGTAAAGTATGGTTGGTGGTGTTTTCCAAAGAGCTATTCAGATTCCTCGATGCTGTTACTGCAACATTTAAAAACTGCAGCAAAATTTGCATTGACGAAATCAGAAGCAATCGCAGGGAATATTCTTCCCTTGCAGAGATCACAACTTCATTTCTGTAATGAGAAAGCATTGTGGATTTCCTAGCATACTGAAATAAAAAGTGTCCATTCCTAGGACAGGTAAATCAAATCAGAGAACAAGGTTCACAAAATTAGAGTCTTGTGCCTATTGGACATCTCCTGCATATTCAAAAAGTCAAGGAATGGATGAAGGCCCAGAAAAGTTGAGTGAGTTCCTACATTGCAGTGCTATTTATGGTAATGTAACATGGGGTCCAGAACCAGGGTCTAGAATTCAAAATGTGTTTTCCTCCACCCCAGGTAACTGCTTCCCCATGGATTATATGCATAAGTCAGTAGACTCTCAGGGTTGCGTAAGGGGCGTGTTTGAATATTAGCATACACAAATGTGTGTAGATGTGCCTAGGCACATATACTCATTCATTCACCAGATGAATGCTTATTCCTCATTTCCACTGTGCAAGCACTAGTCTAGGTGCTTGAGGGACAGCAGCAACTTAGATAAGGTTCCTATTCTCAGGAATATACAACATGTATTACATAGCATATATGCTGTTTTATATCATAACATTGTAATTACACAGTTTATTAATTTGCAGACGTGGATCGATATATCTTGGGTCAAACCCAAACACTTCAAAACAGCAACTAGATGTAAGAAACCCTCACCATGGAACCATTAGCTTATAAAAAGGGTCAGCAAACTATAGCCCTTTGGCCAGATATAGCCTCCTGTTTTTGTATATAAAGTTTTATTGGAACTCCGCCAGGCCCGATCATTTGTGTATCGTCTTGGCTACTTTCAGATTCCAATGGCAGAGCTGAATGTTGTGACAGAAACTGTATGGCCTGAAACCCTAAAATATTCACTATTTGGCCCTTTAAAAAAAGAAAACTGTTTCCCTGGCTAAAAAACACAATAAAATAGGTTATAACCTTATTCCTTAGTAGCAGCAGTGTTAACGGCTTCTACAGTATTAAAAAAGAAACTTCTTTAATGCATTTCATTCTGGCTGTCTGTGCTAACAAACAAGAATATTCTTTCCAGGTAGACAGGAGCTCTCCCACCTCAGAGGGAACAAGATCTCTGTGTTCCCTGTGGCAATGAGTGTGTTTGCACTGGTTACCTGTGAATGTCAAGTTTCCACCAATGACAATTAAGTGATTCTAAATCCAACTGCTTTCCGCCATTATGGTTTCTATGGTTTCCTTGAGGTGGGGTAGTGGCAGAGGGGGTTGTGGCCCGGGGAGGGAGGAGGAAGGTTCTGGGCTGGGTTTAGGCATACTTGGGGTGGAGAGGGCTAGAAGAATGGGAAAGTAACAGAAAATGGGGGAAAAATATATGAAAACCCAGTGGAAATGGAAAAGAAGTTGGCCTCTCCCTCCACTGGCATTCCAGAAATGCTGAATTTGTCTTTGACGTGGGCTTCCCAGCTCACCTGCTGCCCATGGTGCTAATGTGGTTACAGCCGGACAACCAACTGTAAGATTGGCACCTTCTCACCTGGCTCTCTGCAGACCTCCACGTCATGGCTGCTCAACTTATGATAAAAGCAAGCTTTTATTGCTGTTGGCACCATAGAACCAAAGCGGCCAGTAAAGCACAGAGAGATCCTTCTCGGCCGAGCATGTCGTCGGCACAAATGTCAGGGAACTTCCCCTTCTCAAATCCTTCACGTGCCAACGATGTGAGGGACTGACCCGACACCCAGGGCTGGCAAGTCGCAACATCAGCTCATGATTTGTAAGCACCGCAAAATGCTGGGGTGCTTCTTCCTCATTCTCAGTGACTCTGTGCTGGTGTCATTTGTAACCATCACTTGTGAGAGGATAATTGCATGGTGAATTCAAAACGTTAACATCATTAAGAATGCCAAGAGCCTTACACGGAAGCCGAACACTGGCAACACCTTGGCCATGGCCTGGAGAGCGATCAGGTTGTTTTGGGAGAATCTGGTTGTCCTCCCTCAGCCCCCACCCCACCCTGAGCAGACCTGACCTGCGTCGTTATGGAGTGTCAGGGCCGCAGGTTCACAGGAGAGGAGCAGAGCCTATAAAAGTATGTGCGCGCAGTGTCCTGGCACAGAGAAACACAGAGGTTCAAACCTCTGCCAAGTGTTGCTTGGGCTACAGCAGTGATTCGGAGAATGGGCTAGAATGGAAACTGGTCTGGCCCAAGCTTCTGGAGTCATTCCTAGTTGTTGACTTCGGACAGAATGCCTCACCTCTTCGAAGCCTCAGTTTCTCCACCTGTATCGCATGAGAACGGTAGCACTGGCCTCGGAGGCTTACATGAGATCCAACATGGGAAGACAAGGGAGGGGCATCGTGAGGGCCTGATGGCTGCTACCTAGGATGATGACACTGGGGGGAGGGCAAGCCAAGGGCACAGCACCTCACAACTGCATCTGAACTTGTGGGTCTTTCAGATCAGCGAGGCACAAGCTGTGCCAGGCGATGACATGGTGGCTACAGGGAAAGGTGGCTCTGCGTCCCTGGGCAGGTCCTCCCTCCTGAGGAAGGAAGTGTCAGTGTTGCGTGGTGATGAGGATGCTTCTGCCAGGTGGGCATGCGTGCTGGCAGGTTGGGGGACAGAGGAGAGAAGGACCGACGGTGATGGTCACCTGTGTGCTTGGTGCCAATGTGAGCCTTTATCTCTGCTTCCTCCATGGTGACAAAGTCACAGGCGGTGCAGCAGATGGAAAACATCCATTGCTCCTTGTCCACGTGGAGTGACATGTGGCTGACAAACTGGACATTGAGCTCGGTCTCAAATCCACACACGTGACAGCTATATGAGGGGATGAAAAAAAAGAAAGGGAGAGAGGAGAGTGATACTGTGTGGTGGTGCACTCAGAAAACTGGGCCTGGACACATGCTTTTTCCTCCCACCAAAAGGTTTTGCATTAGGAAATTCTGCTTGGGGTGCCTGGGTGGCTCAGTAGGTTCAGCGTCTGACTTCGGCTCAGGTCATGATCTCACAGTTCATGGCTTTGAGCCCCGTGTCCGGCTCTGTGCTGACAGCTTGGAGCCTGGAGCCTGCTTCAGATTCTGTGTCTCCCTCTCTTTCTGCACCTCCCCCACTCACACTCTCTGTCTCTCTCTCAAAAATAAATAAACATTACAAAAAAGAAAATTCTTCTGCTTTCTGGGATGCCTCTGAAGTGGTCACTGTGCCAAATGGATTGTGTCAGCTTAATGTGATAATCCCATACATGCTATCATGATGCTGAATAATCATACAGTTAATTAAAAACTACAGGTTCCAGATGCCACACATCACCTTACTGATTCCTCTGGGCAGAGAGATGAGGTGCAGCCTTGCCAAGATACTAGCGGTGCCGATACAGTGATAAATTCAGAGCACCCCGCATATCTAGTGAGCCTCTCTCTGGCTCTGGAAACCTTCCGTGTAGGAAGGAAGGCACGTGCAGGTCACCAGATAGCACTGCAAGCAGGAGCAAGTCCTGTCTGTGACAATTGCCGATAGCAGTCACTGTCCACGGAGATATCTTGTGCAAAAGCAAGTGTCCACCAATCTGTACTGCCTTCATCTTGGGCATGATTCTGAGACTTGGGATTTGACCGCAACCAAACCAAATATTGGTTCATGGTCAAATATGGAAGGGAAGCCTACAGTTCCAGGTACTGAAGACAATACAACCAGGGGAAAATATGCAGTGCTTTCAGAGCTCTTTCCTCAGACTTCTCGGATTTATTTTTCCTTCTCCTTAGGACAATTCTCAGGAAGCAGCAAGGTGCTCAGTTACAAAGGTCGGGAGCTTTCCAGCTGCACAAATCGAGAAGCTAATAATCCCCGGAGCCGGTCACTCCCTGGAGCTCCACCCCAGAGAGCCACGTCCAAGACCATTTCCCTTTCAATTAATTCTATCCAAGCCAAGAGAGGAGTCAGCGTGGCTGCTGGGTCCAGTCTGAGCAAAGCAAGTATTAAAACAAAGGTTAGCATGATGACTGAGAAGAGGTACCTCATCACATATGCCCCAGCGCCCGGCAAGGAGTGTTCTGGAAAGCTGGGGAAGGCTGGGCTCATGGGTTCCACTCACGGCTCACCTGTAATAATACGGGTGCTTCTTCCCATCACTGCCTTCAGAGGTGACGGCGCTGACAATGTCCTCAGTGTCCGTACTCACCAGCTTCACCGAATGGACGGTCAGGTGCTGGTTCAGGTTTGCACGGCACTTAGCAGCATAGGGGCACAAGTGGCATTTGTATTTTCTTTCCTCTGGGGAGAAGGAACAGGAAAAAACCCAAATGGATCTCAAAAATGAAAACGCAACACCTTGCAAGAGGCCACTTGAAGCTGTCATGGCAAGGAAGGTTCAAATCTCATTTCAAATGGGGACAAAGGGAACACCTTGGAATTATAAATATCTAAAAGTCTTCATCTGGGAGGTCACTGCTGTATTAGTACTGAGATCGAAGAAAGTCCCAGGGTGGCCGGACCATCTGCTTTACCTTAGACACCCACAGGTCCCTCTTCCTGATCGGGGGGCGGGGGGGGGGAGGCACAGGAGCTAAAATAACATGTGTGTGTGCACCTCCCATGTGTCAGCTGAAGGTGGTAGGTGCTTAGCTGGGGAAACGGGAGTGGAACACAGCACCCCTGGGACTGACGTTAGAGAAGCCCCATCATTTCCCCTAGGCTTAGGCCTGGGTCAGCCATGAAATTAAAAACTCATGAAATTAAAGGGGGAAAAGTGACTGGGGTGAAATAATATGATGGCAGATGTTCATTTTACATAAATAGAATTAAAAGTTGCCATTAATTTCTTAATGAAAACCCTCTCCTAAAACTGACAACGTTTCAGGGCTTTCCAGAGCGGCATTCTGAATTCATTTGATTAATCAAGCAGATTATAGTAAAGGAGCAGGTTTGCTTTCATTGTGCAGATACATGGAATGGACGGTAGTAGAAAAAAAGCAAAGAGCAACCTCATTTTCCATCCTTGCTTCTTATTTTGTCTCACTGGGCCTGCCTTTAAAAAATACCTGTCTTACCCCACTTCACAGCAAGGAACGAGGAAAAATGTTTTTCTCCAACCAGATGTAAGCCACCATCACTGTGACTGTAGATGGTCCCCCACATCTGTCGTGCCGGGCTAGGGGAGGGTCGCGGCCGTAAAGATAAAATACAGTCCTTCCTTCTGGGGGAGAAGGAACTTACTCTTGCTAAATTGATTATGTTACTATTTATTCCTCCTTTATCCTTTCTTAATCTGGTTGCCATCCCTTCTGCAACGTGCAGAACCAACATTTCTCCACTATTATGTGAAGGTAAAGACACGCTGCTCCGTTCCCTGCCGCTCCCACTTTCCACCATAAGATGGAGCCAGGAACATGGGGGGCAGCCCCCATTGCCTGAGCCCTCAAGATGAGAGCAACGCATTTCTCAGAATTCAGAAATCTCACCTGGATACACCTGCAGGTGTATCTTTTCTCATCAAGCCTACTTTCAACCCAACTAAAAACCCTTTCCAGGGCCTTCTTTGAACGTGCCAGCTAAAATGGTTTGAAGGGTCAGGATAAAACATTTCCACCACTTCCTGTTAGAACTGTCTTAGGCCAAGTCAGCTTCTTGCCAGTAGACAGGCTGGTGATCCAGAGTGCAGACGGCCCAGGAGGGGGGTCCTGACTCACCTGTGTGCAGCGAGAGATGTCGGGACAACGTCTGCTGCCGGCCAAACACTTTCCCACACACATCACAGGGAAAAAGCTGGTCATTGAATTTCCAGGATGGCAATCCGTTTCCTGCCTCTAGTACTATCTTTTCTGTTTCTGGGCCAAAAGAGCAAAGCATCATGAGGGATAGACAAGGCATCATGAACAAATTGCATTTTAGTCAATATCCATCAGGACGTTAGCAGAGGATTCCTTCTGAACAACGTGGCTGGTAACCGCCGAGAAGTCCAAGTTAACCTCTGGTCTTCATGCTCACTTCCTGTTTCTAAGAAGGCTATTCTGGAAAGTTATGGGAAATGGATGCCACTTCTAGTCAAGTCTCCAGTGTTTTCCCTCTCTATCACTAAAGGTCAGCCAACCAGACCTTCCAGTGGGTTGAGAGTATGGTTTAGCACTGTGCCCAGTATATAGTCAGTACTCAATATTCGCTGAATGGCTAGTTGAGTTGCATGTCAGAACTCCAGACATGTACACTCTTGCCACAAGACAGTAAATAAAGAATCTCAGGTTCTTTTCTCAAAATTTTTTAATGTTGATTTATTTTTGATAGAGAGACAGAGAGAGAGAGAGAGGCAGAGCATGAGCAGGGGAGGGGCAAAGTGAGAGGGAGACACAGAATCCGAAGCAGGCTCCAGGCTCTGAGCTGTCAGCACAGAGCCTGACGCAGGGCTTAAACTCACAAACCGTGAGATCATAATCTGAGCTGAAGTCAGACAGCTAACCAACTGAGCCACCCAGGCGCCCCATAAAGAATCTCAGATTCTGATGTGAAAACAAATGGTTGGATCCCTTGAAAGGATGTACACTGCCCTTTACGAAGAAAGTTTTGCCTGGGTCCTGGGTTGTGCAAAGGCCTTCATGAGGAACTTAATGTTTCATGGGCTCAGTGGTGGCAACTGTATACTATTTGCTGTGGTCTGAATATCTGTGTCACCCCTACCCCCAATTCAAATGTTGGGACCCTAGGACCCAAGGTGATGGTATTAGGAGGTAGTGCCCCTGGGAGTGGACTGGGTCATTAGGGTGGAGTCTCAGGAATGGGATTAGTGCTCTTATAACAGAGACCTCAGATAACTCTCTCGCCCCTTTCGCCTTGTGAAGCCACAGAACAAAGTGGGCGGTCTGGGCCCTTACTCGGCCATGCTGGCACCTGATTTCAGACTTCTGGACTGCGGAAGTGGGAACAGTATACTCCTGTTGTTATTATAAGCTAGGATGCCTGTGGGATTTTGTTCACATAAAATACCCGAAGGCAGTAATGCACAACCAGCATTTCCCCAAAGATCTCATCCTATTAGGAAAAATGGTGAGAGACACCGGTTATCCGCACATACTTCACAGTCATGACTGAGATGTGTGGACACTAATACATCCTCTGGTCCTCTTAAAAAGGTTTCACTTCCGCATCATCATCCCTAGGAGTATGTCTGATTTTCTCCTCCACATTTCCTCTCTCTGAACTGTAACGGTTTGTACAAGCATTACTTCCACAGTAACATAAGAAGCCAGGCGACAGAATATGAAAGGGTGAAGTGGACATGTCGAGAGTGCTTTTCTTAGGCCTCACTCCGAAGAACTAGACAGTTTACGGAGCTGATATCTTGTCCGCTACCTTAGTAAATTATCGCGAATCTTTTTAAAGCCTACTGAGTATTACTTTATAGAACTGGATACCAAGCAGTGATAATTAAATGGTGGAAAGAACTTTTTCTTAAGATCTGTGCAGATGAAAGTGCTCAGACCACCGGACAGAGGGACGTCGGAAGAAAGGACTTCATTTCACACAATTTAGTTACAACCGCTTCCCAAATATAGGCTTCCAGCTGTATTTAGGTGAGTCGGCAAAATCAGTTTTCATTTGAATGCAGATTTGCCAGATAGTGGAACCCAAGGAAAAGAAGAAACAGGAGAGAGTGTGTGTCTGGGGGAGGGGGGGGGGGATGGTGGGATCACAGTCACGTTTGCTCTGAGGCACCTGCCAGCAATCCCAACATTGATAAGGCACATTTATTGATCTATCTGTGTTTGCTAAAACACAGTGCTTTGAGCCTCAGGGAGAGCAGCGAGTCTTATTAAAGCAGGAAGGTGTGACTAAAACCCTCTGGGGGGAAGGGGAGGCATGGAGGGGGGAGGTGAAAAGGGAGTGGTGGCCACCGAGCCATTGAGGACACGAGAACCACTCTCAGATGACTGTCCTCGAGCCCAAGCAGTGGGCGTTTCAGCCACACAGCCATGAGAGGGTATTTAAGTAGCTCCTTTTAAGTGTGTAATCAAAATGGTGCTTCGAAGGAGGGCAACAGTCATAATTACAAGAAGAGGTCAAGTCAGTACAGGGTCTTCTAATACATTCACAACAAGAATGAATTAATTGGGTCACATACCAAACAAGTGGATGCAATTAAAAATAAAGAAGTGTCTTAATAATTCTTTCAAGTATTAGTCACACACTTGAGAAGCTGAGCATCATATGAAGTCCAATATCCTCCACTGGCCTTAGAAAACTATTAAAACTATGAATACTTGCTGCAGCTAAGTAGAAAAATCACCCGCAGTCACGGTGAGACAGCCAGAGCCATCAGGAGCCGGCCGTCGTCGGGCAGCCACACCCCTGGCGCCACGATGGGGATCACCTGCTCTCCCTGCGCGCTTGCTGTCTGCTTTTATTTTATTTTATTTTACTTTATTTTTATCTTAAGAGGTTAGTTGAAAGATAGTTTCTCCACAATGTTTTTTTTAATGATTATTTATTTGTTTTATTTTATTTTTTTAAAAATTTTTAATTTTTGAGAGAGACAGAGTGAGCAGGCGAGGGGCAGGGAGAGATGGAGACATAGAATCCAAAGCAGGCTCCAGGCTCCGAGCTGTCAGCACAGAGCCTGATGTGGGACTCGAACTCACAGACTGCGAGATCATGACCTGAGCTGAAGTCGGATGCCCAACCGACTGAGCCATCCAGGCACCCCCAATGATTATTTATTTTTGAGAGAGAGGAGACAGAGCATGAGTAGTGGAGGGGCAGAGAAAGGAGGAGACACAGAATCCGAAGCAGACTCCAGGCTCTGAGCTGAGCTGTCAGCACAGAGCCCAATGCAGGGCTTGAACTCAAGAACTGCAAGATCACGACCTGAGCCACCCAGGTGCTCCACTGCTGTCTGCATTTAGAGCAGCCACCCATTTTCGTTTCACAGGCAGGAACAAGGCAACCACAGGCCCTTTGCAGCTCGCCCAGGACACGACTTGGAAACCACAGCTGGGTGAGACTGGGGAGTGGAGGGCAGTGCCAAGGGGAGCACTGCTTTGACACGAGAAGCACTAAGGTGATGGGCCTACCCCTCTCCTCACAGAACTGCAATGAAGCTCAAAGGGCGCTCAGCGATACCACGTTCTGCCACGTGTCCTGTGCACAGTGCCACTCAAATGCCACGTGAGAAACTGCAGAATCTTTTTTGATTCCTCCTTCCCTCCCTTGCTTTGTGCAATCCAGGCAGTCACCAGAAACTCCACGGTCTGCCTCTCTAAAGCACAACTGGCCCCCACTGCCACTGAGAGTTGCCAACTGCGGCCCAGGCTCTCGAGGGGCATGCCAGATCAGAGAGGCATCCTCTGTCTCTTGTTCTTGATGACCGGCCATTATCAAAAAAATACTTTAAAATAATTAAATTGTGAGCCTATTGATAAAGAAATTTTATAAGCCCTGATATATAGGCCTGTCCTAGCCTCTATGAATTAGCAATAGTGACTGTAAGCCTACGTTAGGGAAACCACTGTGAGGACAGCGGGCGAGAGTCGTGATTCATAGACTCAGACACCGTGCTCTGTCACCCTTGTGGGACCCACTAGGCTGTCCTTGTGGTCACAGGCTACAGGCTTAATGAAAAAGATTTCATGTTCCAATTTGTGTGTGTGTGTGGATAAGCTAAGGACTGATAAATTTTTATGAAAAGGGTTTCTATTATTTGATTTAAAAATAAAGCTTTGGAAACAAACAAAGATCTCAAAGGTCTTTCCAGAACGCACTGCCTGAACACAGTCATCATCTCTCATCGGGACTGCTGCAAAGCCTCCGGAACAGCCTCTCTGTTCCACTGGTCCCCCTCACCGGTTCCAAAATGGTCTTTTGGAGGCACAAATCTGATCTGTCTTGTCCTGGACTACAATGGCCCCTCCAGGCCAGACTCCTTTGTGTGCCTTCTGAAGAGCTTCCCAACCCTTGTGATCCTTCTCCAACCACCTCTCACCTTCGGCTCCCCACATCACCCCCAACCACCCAAGCACTCGGCAGAATGAGCTACTTGCCCTTTTGGAAAACTAACCAGTCCCTTTAAGCCGTCGATGCTTTTGAATCAAGTGCACCTGCACCAGAAGCTATTCCCCCATCCCAGCCCTTCTTCTGCACAGCAGTCAGGCTCATTTTCAAGCCCTATCCAGATTTCATCTCCTTGGTAAAGCCTTCCCCAATTCCCCAGGCAGAATTAGTCATTTCCTCTTCTCTGTCTCAAAGCACCTTTATGAATACCTTCATTGCACCACTTTACCTATTATATTATTTGTTTGCATATCTTCTATATTACATATATCTTTTTCACATAAAGCAGCCAGTGAGTCCAATATGCAGCAGCACTCGATAAATGCGTTCCCTGGTCTCCCTTCTCTATGAGAATATGAGTCATTAAGGGGAAGGGTTTCTACATGATTTACTTCTATATTTGCAGCATTAGCAGTGCCTGGCACATAACCAGTGTATAGTATACATATGTTGAATATGTGAATGACTGAATCTTTTTTTTTTTTTAAGGAAAGTGCATGCAAGAGTGTGGGAGTGCATGTACACATATAAGCTGGTAAAGGACAGAGAGAGAGAGAGAGACAGAGAGAGAGAGAGAGAGAGAGAGAGAGAGACAGAGACAGAGACAGAGAGACAGAGAGACAGAGAGACAGAGAGATCAGACATGGGGCTTGATCTCACGAACTGTGAAATCATGACCTAAGCTGAAATCAACAGTTGGACGCTTAACTGAGTGAGCCACTCAGGCGCCCCTGAAGAATCTAAGTGAGGTGGGGAATAAATACTATTCTTATTTTATAATGGGAAAGAC